AATATGTCCTGATCTGTAATTTTTTTCATTGTATTCAGAAATGTTTACAATTTTACTAGGAAAGATATGTGCAAGTACAATGTTTACAAATTATTAAATTTTATTATACAAACGATTGTTCTCCAATCGCAACTTTTCTTGCGCTTTTGCCATTTTATGGTCGTTATAATCGTACACCTGTACTCGCTGTTCGAGCGTACATTTTCGTTACTAATGTTCAAGTGCCAATAATCAAAGAGCCGCTCGAAGTAATAAAAATATTGCTGCCCATTTGGCAAATGTTGCTGAAAACCGCAATTTGTCGATTCCAAGATGTTCGTAAGAACTCGAACTGTGTCAAAGCACAAGCTGGTGGATTTTGAGAAATGTTTTAGGTTTGCATTCGTATAAAATTGTCTCACTCATGAACTGAAGCCATTGGACCACCCCAAACGTCGTGAATTTGCTGATTTTGCCTTGGAACAATTTGAAAACTATAACGATTTTTTAAGGAAATCATCTTCTCTGATGAGGCTCACTTTCATCTGGGTGCTGCGATAAATGAACAAAATTGTCAATTCTGGTGCGAAAAAAATCCACAAATTATTCATGAACAATCATTAAGGGGGTATTCTACTCTAGAATTTTGAAAAATTTGATTTCTTTTTGCATATATTTAAAGTTTAGACCCTTAAGAATATATCCTCCAAAGGATTTTTAAAAATCAAAATTAATTTAAGAGCTGCAGTTAGCGCACTAATAAATGACTTAGACTGCCTGATATTTGACTCACTTTTTTCCACAGGGTACCGGCATTATCTCAAGTTCTATACAACCGATTTACTTGAAATTTTGTGTGAACCTTCTTTATGTAATCCTATATCGTTCCTACCAGCATCGTGTCAAAATTTTTTAATACTTTAAAAAAATTCAGGAATTTCAAAAAAAGCGTAAAAAATGATTTTTATTTTCAGGCGGTCGCCATTTAAAAATTTTTTTTTTTCGTGTTCCYTCAGGCAGGGACTATACCAGCATCCTTACTGATTAAGAATTTCTTTTGAGTTTTTTTTTTTTCAAACCACCAGGAGAGTCAGGATCAATGTCACCAGGATACGCCTTTTTTTACACAAAAAATTTTGTAATTCTCATCCCAAAACTATGACCTCTGAGATTCCTAATATTTTTAATATTTCGGATCTTAAATACGTTGGAAATATTCTGACGCTTCCAAACGTTTTCGAGCGCATAAAAAACAAAGTAATTTCACCATAAAACGCTTAGTGCGACTACGCTAGAAAAGTGTTAAGTTAGTTACTTATTAACATTGGTAAATTGGAGGGTCTCAAAAAATTAGCATATGACCAAACCCACGTTTAAAACTCTCATAGCAATCTAAAACTCGACTTTAATCGCGTAAGCGGTGTCTACGCTAATAAAGAAGAAGAAGCAATCTAAAAATGTAAACATTAATCTAGATTGATGTMTAAATGTCTTGAACGTCAACTGGAACTACAGAAAGGTTTGAAACATTTTTTGGCAATGGCAAGTTGTAGACATAGACATATCCATAAGGAAGACTCTGTAAATCTTTCAGGAAAATCGGCCGAATAGAACCTGGGAAATCGTGGGTATCATTTTGAAAAAGAGTACATGTTTTCAAATATTCAGGATGAGCAAAATAGAGTTAAAAAAATCATCTTCTAAGCATATATTATTCTTGAATAGTTAAACTCTGGAAATGTATAAAGKAAAAATCGTTTTTTATTTCTCGACTAGAATACAAACTTAAGTCTATAGAATCTCAAAACAATGCTGAATTCATTATTGCCACTGTTCGACGATTTAAAGCGGACACGTTCATTGTATACACGAAGAAGTCCAGTGTCTTGATGTTTCCTGCTATAATTTTGAACTTCTGATGTATTATTTGTTTGATTAATACTTCCACCGCGTTTGTTAATGGTACCAAATTTATCTAAAATAAAATGTTCAAAAATCCATACAAAGTATAGTAAATAGTTTTCATCATATTAAATATCCAGGCATGCAACAGCAGCGGCAACTATACAGTGATTTCAACAACCGCAGTTTTATAAACTTATTGGTTTCAGACCTTAATTTTATGGAGTTCCCATAGCTCTTTTTTCTTTAATTCGAAAATAATCCTTTCAATAATTTTATTACACATACACATACTCGTATATTATATCATGTACAACAAGAGATCGTTGAAGACATGTCTCGTTCATGACGACCTTTGACCTCTTCAACTGTGAAGTATATGAAATTCGTCAGACAAGTATTAGAGAGATGGCAAAAGAGCTTGATATCTCCTCCGAGTCCATTTGAAAGATTTTGGTGGATATTTTGGGTATGAAAAGCGTTTTTGCTCGACTCGTCCCTATAAAGCTTTTTTTTTCAAAAAGAGTATCGTATACAGAACTCTCAGCATATGCTTGGTCGTGCGAATTCCAATCCCACATTCATGGAGAGCATTATAACTGCCGATAAGATATGGATTTCTGAGTTAGAAATGGATGATGAAAAAACGAGTCGAAACCAACAAAAACATCGACAAAGCCACAAAAATGAAGGTGATGCTCCGTATAACCCGTTTTCAGTCGACCGAAGAGATAAAACCAAATTCGCTGAAGGAGCTGCCATCACAAAAAGTGCTTATGAAAAGTGTTTCGAGGACTGGATAAATCGTTGGCATAAGTGTATTAGATTGCAGGCGAAAAATGAATATTGATGAATAATTAAATATTATGCCTTTAATTTACAATCTCTAGGTACTTTTTTCCTTTTCACATTGTATGTATGTATACATATAGTATGTTTCCAAGCAATTCGTATTAATTCTACAAACTTTTATTTTTTCATATTTTCGCTGAAAACTAAAATTATTCGAACTCCCTGGAAAACGAAAAACCTCTTTCCACTCGTGTTTTATAATTATAGTTTTAACTTTCAAAACAAAAAGTCCCGTAATATGCGTACGTTGATAATTTAGATGTAATTTAAAACACCGTAACGTTAAATAAAAAATTATATAAAAGTGAATGTGTGCAATACCGTTATATTCATGCTCACATTACACACCAGACGTAAACGCATTGTGCATAAATATTATAGCAGCGGCGACCATTTATCATTTTTGACGAATACTTCGGCGTTTGATTACTAATTTGCCTCAAAACCCCCAAAGCTAGCAATAATTTTCGTCGGTCTATTATAAAAAAAAAAACGTTTTCAACACATGTGTACCATACATACATATGTATATACGTATGTGTGTGTGTAGCTAGAAAAATCTTTGTATGTGTGGATTTTCTATGCACGAGTGTGTGAACAAATTGGTTCGTGTGCAAATTGCAAGTCATGTATAGACAATACGAGTATATTTCGCAAAAACAATAAAATTTTAAAGATTATTGATAATATTGCAAGCGGTTATTTAGGTGCCCTTACCGGTATTACCTTATACAACTCAGTCGTCACATATTACTGTAAATCAAGTGATGCTTTCTTTACACAAGAATGCTTTTGGGTCATATTTTCTGTATTGTTATCAAATGATTCTCAGTAGACGCTGGGTAAGGCGATAATAGATTTACCGCTAATCACTTGTCGCCTAGTTTGCTCATTCTCGCGTTTTTTAGCGAATACTTTTAACACCTAGAAGGTTTTCATTAAATAGAAATATGACATTACTTTGCGACATAATCTCCATCTAGAGTACTAATAAATTGGTTATAACGATTAACAAAAGTTCGATTCTGCTCTAAAATCGGCGTCATTTGGGTAAAATATTTTTTCGGTCATGTCGAAATCAATAAGTGGAGAGTTAGTTWATAGTGGAGTTTAGTTGGCGAATGATATGAGGCCAACGCATTCCTTTAAGATACGGTTTCSTAGAAACTACTTGTCGGTTAAATATGCTTGAAGTAACACTTAGCCATTGTTTTGCATACATACACTTGTGGTTTGAATATTATTAAAAATTGATTCCGCCATCTAAGAGGTTAAATTTACATATCTTCCAAACCACTCAAGTTAACTCAAACAAACTGAAAATGGGTAAAATCAGATTCCCAATATAGCAGYTATGTCGAAAATTACTAAAAGTGCTTACTAAATAAGTGAGACAGTGGCATTAAATATTACAACCTGAATGGATGCAAAGGCTTCATGAGAGCTGTAGTAAAAAGCTGGGTCAATGGCCGTGGCGCCAACCACTTACAGGGAAACCCTTCATTTTAGGCGATACTTGACCTATTTATTCCAAATTTAGTATGGGAGCCAAAAATGGACAAAATCGGCTCACACGTCTCATATGTAAACAAAAATATTTTAGAACTTCCGGTTCGCTTTATACCGCATCTATCGGTCAATGTCAAAAAAAATGTAAACAAAACTAAGAATGAATAGATGAAATCATGTTGATACTTTTATGTTAAACTTTTTTTTGTTTTTCAACACCTAAAGGTTWATCAGGCTTTGATTCTGGCAAGTTGCGAGAATATAAAATGTTCGGTTACTGCCGAACTTAGCCCTTAAAATCGAACGTCAAAACTAAAATACTTTCCTTTTACCTTTTGAGAAAAATGTGCATTAAAATGTATGATATGGAAATGAAATGGATATTCATCATCATTATAACAATAAAACGCTCTCCAATAACACTCTCTGTTTCATATGTATGGCCTTACATATGACAGCGTCTATTTCCGCCGCAATGCTCCATTTCTCATTATATCACTTGTACTTGTATGGAATTTTTGCAATTCTGTTATGTCATTGTCGGCTGCCGAAATCAGAGCGAAATGAGATCATATTGCTCACGCATGTCGAATGTTCGAAAGACGATCCCAGAAATCAGTTCAAAAATGAGAAAAATATAATACATATCTTAATATCCATATAACAGTATATGAGTGAAGCGTGTGTTTTTTCTTCTGTATATAATTATGAAAGCATACTTACACCAACCTATTTCATTGTAATATTATCCATTTCAGGTTGTCCATGGCGTTCGCATCGAGACGGCGGATTCGGTGCATCCACACCAGAGTACTCACAGCATACACAAACGCAGCACAGACGCCGCTGACCAGCCATTACGAATTTTACTCTTCTACGATGAATCTGTTTTCAGGTTAGCGCTCTTTAAGTATATCTTTTGTTATTTTATTAAATTAAAACGTTGCATAAACGAGCACATACACAAATATCGTACATACTTATGAATGTACATACAAAAGTTCAAATAATAATACTAATTGCATTTAATAGAATAATAACATTGTTAGCTCATTTGAAGCGTAGGCTGTGCCAAGCACATTTCTTCATGGAAGGCATTGTATTTTTTTTAGATAAAACAAATGCTACACATTTTTTTATGATATGTAAGTCTATATATTTGTTTGCTTCGTTAGCATGGCTCGTTTTAAATTTCAGCCATGAAGTTAATTATAACTATGAAAAGCATWGAATTGCGCAGCTTCATAAAGAATATGCATTATCTTGTTTTCACTGATTTCCTTTCTGTAATTAATGCAGAGAGTGAATATTGATCTATTGAAATAAATGTAATAGAAGAAAAACTCMACTTAATGAATAAATATATATGTATATATAATTTATAAAGGGAAATCCATTTCGAGGTTATCTACTTTTTTTCAAGAAAAACACAGAAACTTCAAATCTAATGGGAAATTGTTATTATCACTCSAATGAACATTATTTAGCATTTATTTTTTGAAGATTATCTCCTTCAAACATTGGTCGCGGCTAGTCCGAAAAAGTCTAACGGTGGGATATCACACTATCTTGATAGACAATCGATCGGCCCACAACGTGAAATTATCTGCTCATCGAATGAGGGAATATACTAAGTAAATCCATTGATTGATGCGATGTACAGGAAGTGGCGTCGTCTTATTGAAATCAAATGTCGCCGAAATCACGAACTTCAATTTCAGTCATTAAATAGTCAGTCCGGCATAATTTTTAARGAAATATGGACGATACCAAGTGCTCACAAATAACATCAAACCGTTGTTGTTTGGATGAAATGACAGCTCATGAATCTCTTCAGGTTGCTCTTCGTCCCAAATGCGTCTCAGGCGCTAGACAAGATATGACTCTACGTAAAATACGCCAAGTCGTTCCATACGTCAATCCTAGTTGCTACGAACGGGGACGAATCGGCACTCCACAGTCTTCGAGTACACTCTCCGCTGCGGCTACTATATTTTTTCAYTGATTACTCTAGTTCCTAATTTAATTCTGTAATATTAATATAAGGTCTGGTAAAAATAACTCCAGTATTTTTTCAATTGATGTATTTAGTAATCTGTATCTCAGGTTTAATAAGTGCGATCAGGTTAGGCTATATAATATATGATTTCGTATATCTGAGACAGTTTTGTGATTGCTTGACTCAATATTGAATAGTTTTCGAAATATCTACAAAATGATCGAAATCGTCAGGTTGAATCGTCATGTAAGTACTTTTCAAATTGCTAATCATTGCACAACAAACCGTTTGAAATCATTTAAATAAGGCTGGATACAAAATTASATCGGTGCGGGTGTTAAAAGAGTTACCCATGGCCAATAGAAAAATAATGTTGTATATTGCATCTGGGCATCGCGCCAGGCATCCATCGATTGTGACGCGTAAGAAGCACTTGGGGCTTAGTTGGGAGGTATTCAASTTATAATCCGAACTTGGCACCAAATGATTACAACCCGTTCCTGTCTATAATGAATGATTGCGATGGCGAAAAATTCGCCGCAAGAGAAKGGTGATATTATGAAATTACTTTCCTTCTAATTTAGCTGAAGGAAATCTTCAAATTAATGCAAAAATAATGATTTTCTTTCTACTATGTTTGTCCCAGACTAAATTTCAACTCTTCAACTCTTCAGCTATGTAATATTTTAATTATGATATCTACCATATCTGAGCAAATTGCAAACACTTAAAAGTATGTATGGGGCTTTAGATTATACAATATTCTATAAGAACATTTCGTCATTAAATCAATAAGAGTCGATCCTGAAAGTGTGGACTTTCGAAAAAGGCCGCCGAACGCTCGCAATGGCCATGCTGCATAAACTTGCACACGCGATTATTTCTCTAGAGTATCGTATTATGCTGTTTATGCTTAGCTCCAATTGTAAAAAAATCYATTTTGGTAAACTTAATGCGATTGAAATTAAAGTTAAATAAAATAGTTCGCTTTAACTTAATTGGCTTAACAGTGATTATTGATAAATTGGATACTAATCTCTATGCAATGTAAAAACGCTTAATTAGTTGCGTACRTACATATGTATGTGTGYATGTACGTATGATAAAAGTGTAGGTTAATATCCCAGTAGTGAATGTAAGCAGACAACTGTTTGATGAGGTGTGTTGAAGAGTTTCATAAATTTTTTTATTGTAAGTGCAGCTTTCGAACAATCCGCATTTTCTTTAAAATAGCCTATATTTTGCTTTTATGGTACAAACTAAAGCTTGCAAAGGTTGCCTGTGTTGCATAAAGCARCACGGCTAAATGCTGATATACTCGTATATAATTTAAATCAATTCGATAAACCTTACATTTTTTTATTGCCGCTTCAAATGAAAAAAATATGCATTATTATTAATATTGTGTATCCTGAACTCGTTGGCCACGATGTTTGTAACAATCAGACGGAAGACACTATAAAGAACTTATAGTGCGTTCGAAAAATAATGCGTCTTTCGGGAAATATGTTTCATTTATCGAAAATGTATTTTGTTCAATTTGCCGCGTTGTCTATTATAGCCTAACATTTTTGGCAACTTGCAACAAATTTTTTGTCGTGGATGAGCTTCTGCGGTAACTTAAAAAAGGCAAACAAAGTAGCTAGGTTTAGAAAATTACTAACCAAGCACCCGACTACTCCTAGGCTACAAGGCAAAAAATGTGGAGAGTGAACTGGATGCAGTAAGGAATCACTGATAGCCCTAGTCAACACTCATTTCCCAGGGTGTACAGATGCTGTAGATTTCCTATCTGTATAGACAGTGTAGAGTACCTCCCAACAGATATCATAACGAAAGAAAAAATTCTTTGGGTAATCAACGGCTTCAAACCATTTAAATCCCTGGTATGCATGAAGAACGTAAACAAAAGCGCTGGTTCCTTATATGACCATAATATACAATGATGTTTAAGGCTTAACTATGTAYCTAACCTTTGTAGAAAGCAAGGGTTGTAACTATTCATACCGAAGACGTTTCCCCTTTTTCAAAAAAATACAAAAAGTCTAAACTCATTCCTTCTGAAGACGTTTGAAAGAATTCCAGACGCCTATATAAGAGAAAAGCTTTTATGGGTTACCCTGTCGAAAGCAAAGCACACCTATACTAAGGGTATAYCCCCAGAGACTGCACTTCATTCGCTTTCCCTAAGTATAGAAAGAGCATTACAGCGTACAAAATACGCTCTGGGTGTCTTTTTTGACATAAGTGGAATATTTAATGCTGTTTCCAATAACAGTCAGTGCATATTTACGACATTTAACATAGATTACTGTCCAAGGCAACGGTGCGGTCTCCAAATACATTTGCTGTCATTCAAACTGACCGAACAACCGAAAACTCATTGCAATTTATCTTAATAACCGTTCAATTTCAGTGTATAAGAGTAGGTTACTATATTTAACAAGTGCATTGCACGTTTCTCTACTGGGTACTGAACGTACTAACGCATTTTAAGTAGATTTAATTATTTCCTTATTGTACATTTACGAGTTGTAAATTATAAAGCGCACTGTTCAGGTGTTGTTTGTGGATTTCGATCACAAACATCGTTTCCCGTGAAAACTAGCAACTAGCTTCCAGCACCGGCACCAGCACTCCACGCGTTCAATTAATTGTATACATGCAAACATGGAATATAATTTCTTTTGTGCAAATTTGACTAAGTTTCRTTTGATTGCTAATTTTCCGCAAACTTAATTTGCTGCTTTGCGTAGTTGAACAGGTTTCTTGTAGTTGACGCATTAGCGCTGGTTRCCCTTGATAATTCCGATTACATTTGACTCTTGCATTAGGGTAGGTTGGGTTTGTTGTTATAGTTTGGTAAGAGATTTCATGACATATTTTAAGTTATTTGAAGAAGTGAAGTATTTATTGGAAATACTATTCATAAACAAAAGTATTTTATCTTTCAAAATATTTTTGAAGAAGCGTATGCTTTTGTTATTCCACTGCAAATATAATTATTTCTTTATGAAATG